AAGAGCAGAGATTGTTTCCGTGGTCCCAGGGAAGAGATTTGGGGTGCAAATCAAGCCTGATGAAATTCAGCCCTGCATACTTCTGCAAAGAGGGGGGTGTCTTTCCTCTGTCCTGATCCCAGTAAGAGCATCCCTCCTGGACAGAGTGCCAGGGATGGTGCTAAGCTCCATCAGCAAAAAGCCAGTGGAGCTTCAGAGTTGCCCAGTGTCAACCACAGGAGCAGCAGACGCACAAATCCTGCCCTCCCAGCTGCTGAAGGGGAAGGGTGAGAGTAGGGGGGAGTCCCCACCATGTATCCAGAGCCTCTGCAATCCACTGGGATTAATCCCGGGATCACATCCTTCTCCTGCACCCTCCAGCTCCAGGAGCAGGTTGAAGGAGGTCAGACTGCACAGTCCTGTGGTGGATCAGCCAGTGGGGTCCTGTCCCAGCAGGGACCCTGTGACAGTGACTGTGCACATCACCAGGGTGCTTGAAAAGCCCCATCTCCTGGATCAGGGACCCCATGAAGCTCCTCATGAAAGTGGAGAGAGCAGGTCACCCCCTCCAAGCTGAGGGACCCACTTAGGTGCCCTCAAGGAGCGCCACTGCCCCCTCCCATCCCCCTGAGTCCCCAGCGTCCCTGCCAGGGAGGACAGTGGCCCCTGGGAGGTCCAATTTATTCCTGGATGTGGAAAAAAAAGGTTCTTTTTGCACTTGTTCCTGTCTTTTGGGCTTAACCCCCCACCGGGACCATCCCCCCCACACCTGGCCTGTGTTCTTCTGGGGGGGGTCACCGGGGCAGTGGGGGGAGCAGAGGGGCCGTGGGGCAGCTGGGCAAGGGGAGGGCAGACGGCTTGCAGGGGGGGCCAGGGGTGTTTGGGGGAGGGCGGGGGCACGAAGCCAAATGCCCCCCGCTTTCCCTTTCTGCTTTCCAAGTCCCAGAGCTGGTTGCCTTGGGCTGATGTGTCATTTGTTCCTGCCAAGGAAGAGGGGACACCCCCCCCACGCCCCCCCTCTTTAAATTCCTACTATTGTGAAGTGGGAGGCACGTTGGACCTGGTGTTTAGATGACATCACCGAGCAGGTTGGGTTATAAAATGAATGAAGCAGAAAGCCCAAGTTCACAAGCTCGGCACTTTGCAGGCGGCAGGAGGGACCTCGCGGCTCCGCTCTGAACTTTGACTCCCGTCGGTCCCGGCCTCTCCCCGGGGCTGCCCTCGGCTCCCCGCTGCCCCCCCGGCTCCCTTCCCGCCCGGCCCCGCAGGATGCAGATCTCATCCTTGCTGGCTGGTGGACTTTTACTCGCGCTGCTCTCCGTCAGGCTGGAGGCGAAGCCGGCGTCTCAGCTCCCACAGAAGGTACGGCGGGGGCTGCCCCCGGCTCTCCCTCCTCTTCCCGTCCCGCTGAGGGTCCTAACGGCACAGGGAGGGGACGTTGGGTGACTGTGGGGTGGCAGAGTCAGTGCAAAGGGGGGTCCTTCTTTCCCCACGGGCTGTTTGCCTGCAAAGGGACTCCGTGCTTCTCCGGGCTGTCCCAAACGCGCGTGTCCGGGGACATCAGCCCCAGACTAGAGGCTGGAGGGGGACACCGTGTGCCCTGTACCCCGCGGGATCAGCGCCAGGGAGGGTGGCAGTCTGCTCCCCGGCGTCACCCTGGAGACCCCGCTATGCCGGGCACGTGGGAAGGGGAGCAGAGCCGGGGCAGGGCAGGCAGCAGGTGCACGGTGGGCACGGTGAGGGGCAGTCCTGACCAAACGGCCCAGGCAGGAGCATTTGGAGTATCCCCCGGGGAAGGGGTGTCCCAAATAGGGGTATCCCAGGGACCTGGATGTCCCGAGATGCTGAGGAAAAGGGATGCGCCAGAGGCCACCTGTACTGGGTGGCACTGCCCAGAGGGCCAGGCACAGAGATGGGGACACAGAGTGAGGGGTGCCCCAGCAGTGGGATAGGAGTGGTGGTTTCCTTGTAAGGAACTGGGGTGCAGGCTGCAGAGAAAGGGGTGATACGGGGGGGGTTGTCGGGGAGGTGAATGAAGGTGAGCATTCCCAGGGCTTGGTAAGCAGAAGCTCCGAGTAGGGAGACAGATGGCCTGGGAGATGGGGGGCAGAAATGGAAGGGGGTGTGCCCCCCTAATTGTGGGTCAGAACTGGAAGAGTGGGGGCACCCAGAGATTATTAACTAGGGGAGGGAGCAGGAAGGAAAGGGAACGCAGATCTCCCCATCACTGCTGGGGACACTCTGCAAGGCAGCGGTGCAGGGGGAGCTGGGGGGCAGGACCCCCCCACCATAATCTGAAGAGCCCTGTAAACTGGTGGGGGACGCAGTGACCGAAGGGACCTGAAGGGAAAGGACCTGCCAGCTTTCAGGCCTCTTCAGATCAATGGCAGAGGACAGGGGGACAGGACAACGGGATAGTGACAGCAGCACAGCTGGGGGGTGCAGCACCACCAGCCCTTTTGAGGGGACATGCAGTGACCGGGGCACTGCCGGGAGAGGGCAGGAAGACACCGCTATGGTGTGGGTCAGGGGGATGCTCTGACACCAGGGAAGGGAGCATAGATTTAGGGAGGAAAGAAGATGCCTTGGGCACAGCCGCGGGGTGATGGGCTGCGCTGCCGGGCACCGACCCCAATCCCAGGTTTGCGTCGGCGGGGGGGGGTGGTGGTGACAGACCGACCCCGCTGCGCGTCCTTAACGGGGGGTTCCCAATACTAGCGGGGTCGCTGGGGGAGGCAGCGCTCTGACCCTCTCCCCTCTCCACAGGCGAACCGCGGGTCGGCGGCGGCAGCAGCAGCGGCGGCGGCGGGTCCGCCCGAGACGGCGGAGCGGGAGAAGGAGCGGGAGAAGGAGCGGGAGAAGGAGCGGAGCGGCGGCGGCGGGTCAGGCCCTCGGGAGGCGCGGGAGGCGCGGGCCGAGGCGCGGCCGCGGGCGGGCTGGGCGCGGCTGCTGCAGGACCCGCCGGGCCGCCGCCACAAGGGCCTCCACAAGAAGGGCCTGGGCAAGGGCTGCTTCGGGCTCAAGCTGGATCGCATCGGCGCCATGAGCGGCCTCGGATGCTGAGGGACCCCTGGCGGTGAGTGCGCGGCCGGGCCGGGATGGGGCCGGGATGGGGCCGGGATGGGGCCGGGATGGGGCCGGGATGGGGCCGGG